TTACCTAGGTCAGCTAGGAATAATGATGCTATCTGGGTGATTGTTGATCGGTTGAACAAGTGTGCGCATTTCTTGCCTGTCAACATCAAGTGGTCCTTGGAGAAGCTGACACAATTGTATGTGAGGGAGATAGTACGGTTGCACGGGGTGCCTTCCAGTATTATTTCCGACCAAGATCCGAGGTTCACTTCCAGATTTTGGCAGAGTCTACATCAAGCCCTAGGCACGAAGCTAAAGCTGAGTTCTGCTTATCATCCGCAAACGGATGGTCAGTCAGAGAGGACAATCCAGTCCTTGGAGGATTTGCTGAGGGCTTGTGTGTTAGACCACTTGGGTAGCTGGGAGGAGGTCCTACCGCTGGTGGAGTTTACTTACAATAATAGCTTTCATGCTAGCATTGGGATGGCGCCGTTTGAAGCCTTGTATGGCAGGAGATGTAGGACCCCTCTGTGCTGGTATCAAGATGGTGAGTCAATGGTTGTGGGACCAGAGCTAATCCTACAAACTACTGAAAAGGTGAAGCTGATTCAGGAGAGGATGAAGACTGCTTAGAGTAGGCAGAAATCTTATGCTGACAAAAGGCGTAAGCCTTTGGAGTTTGCTGAAGGGGAGCATGTGTTTCTGAAGGTGACTCTGACTTCTGGTGTGGGCAGAGCGCTGAAGGCAAAGAAGTTGACACCGAGGTTTGTGGGTCCCTATTAGATCATATAGCATGTGGGTCCGGTTGCATATCGGTTGGCCTTGCCACCGTCTCTTTCAAACCTACACGATGTATTTCATGTATCCCAGTTGAGGAAGTATGTTCATGACCCTGGTCATGTGGTGGAGCTGGATGATGTGCAAGTGAAGGAGAACCTAACGTTTGAGAAGTTGCCAGTAGCTGTGGTTGATCATAAGCTGAAGGAGCTGAGGGGCAAGTCCATTACTCTGGTGAAGGTGTTGTGGGATGCAGCTACTGGTGAGGCTACTTGGGAAGGGAAGCAGCAGTGCAGGGAGCGGTATCCGTTTCTCTTCCCAAGTAAGTCTGTTTTCGGGGACGAAAATTCCTGTTGTTGGGGAGGTTGTGAGACCCGCTGTTCTTTTTCTCTTTCACTATCTTCTCCCTCACTCCATATCACTTTCTTCTTAATTCTCTTTGCCTCCTTCATTGATTTCCTTTATTCCTTGCTACCTCAAGGTGCTGATTCTTAGAGGTTGGACTTGCTGAGGTGTGGGCATTTCTTTTCTTCTCTTCCCCCGTTCAAGCTCTTCTCCATTTTTCTTCTCCGTTCCCCTTCCCAGAAGCTCGGATTCTCGCACCGAGGTAAGGGAAGTTAGGTTTTCGTTGTTTCTGGTTGTGGATGAGTCTTAGAAACTCATTAGATGCTTGTTGATGGTTGATTCGTGGTTGTGATGGAAGAGAACTTGTTTTCGGGAAGTTTTTGAAGAAATTTGGGTTTTCTTTGATTTGAGGTTGCATGCGGAAAAGATAGTGTTTTTCTTGATGATTGATGAAAATGTGGTATTTTGGTAACATTGCATGTGGGTTTTTCTGGCTGTTTTTGCAGGATTTGGTGAAGTTTTTCGAAAATGGAGTGTTACTACTGAACTTCGCGCTGGGCATAGTTCTTCGCGCCGGGCGTGGGACCACCTGGAGGCTCCTTTTAGGCAAGCCGCCGGGCGCAAAGGTGCAAGCGCCGGGCGAGCTTGAGAAGGAGAGCCTCTGGATGGCCCACGCCAGGCGTGATGGGGACAGCGTCGGGCGCGATATCAGTTGTGCCATGTTTTGGGTTTTCTGGTGCTGTGTTGGGCGCCACCATTGTCGCGCTGGGCGCGGAGGCTCCTTGGGAGTCTCTCCCAAGAGGGCGCTGGGCGCAATACGAATTGCGCCGGGCACGAGACCTTGGTAGGTCTCTGCCTTCCCCACGCTGGGCGCGGGTTAGGCCATGCTGGGCGCATGAGACTCCTTGGAGTCTCTGCCTGGGCATGCGCTGGGCGCAAAGCTGAATTGCGCCAGGCGCGTGAGAGCCTTGGGCTCTCTGGTTGGGTCACGCCGGGCGCGAGCACTCTTGTGTCGGGCACGCTGGCCCTTGGTGCTCTCTGGTTGTGCCACGTCGGGTGCGACCATGAGTGCACCGGGCGCGTGTGATGATGATGACTTATATGCGGATAGCTGTTAAATTTTGCTGAAATTGTTGATAGATGTTGTTTAATGCTGAACTAAGCTGTAATTGATGAATATGCTGTGCTGACGGGATGTTAATGCTGAAAAATCATGTTAAGCTGTAATGGATATATATTGCCGTGCTAAGCTGAGCTGTTATTGATGATTTACGATGCTGACTTATATTATTGTTATACTATAGAATGATGAGCTGAGTTGTGAGTAATAAGCTATGTTGAATACTACTTAGCTGTGCTGTATGTTGATTTGTTGTGCTGTGCTGTGAGCTGATTGGCTGTGTTGTATATTGCTGAGCTGTATGCTGTGTATGGCCACTATTGTTGTGTTGTTCTAGCCGCTATGTTCGGTGTTGTTATTAGCTACTATTGTGGTGCTGTTATAGCCGCTAAGGCAGTGCTGTTATTGTCGCTATGCGGTGCTGTTATAGCCACTAGAGCGGTGCTGTTATTGCTACTATGCAGTGCTGGAATTGCCGCTTTGCGGTGCTGATATTGCTGAATTGTTGTGGTGTAGTATAAGTTGTGCTGATGTACTGATAGTTGTAGCTGTTTACCATTCATATTGTTATATATGTATGTTGACTTCTTTTCACTAGCTTACCCTTTGTTGTTTCTATGGTGTTTGGACTGCAATTATCATACTATGTATGGGAGCAGAGCAGGGATAGGTTGGTGGCTAGTGGCAGAACTGTAATGGCAGATAGGGCTAATTTTCTGTTGATCTTTTGTTGTGTTAGCTACCTGATGTAGTAGCTTTTGATGTATTTTGTACACTTTAACTCTATCAAGATTTGGACCTTGTATATGTATATATTCTGGACCCTATATGTATACACTTGTTCCTTTCTGTATGATATTTCTAGTGTGCTGTGCAGTGTGTAGTGACCAGTTGGATCGTTACATCTAGAGGCCAAAATCATTTTTTTTTTAATTTATCTTCTCAGGCCGGGTTGAATTTGACTGACTATACAAGAAATTTCCTGCGTTTTGGCCGCATAATTCATAATTTTTAATTTAATTTTTAACAAATAAAATAAATTTGTATTGTTTTTTTTTATTAATATAACTATTACAAATAAATAACCATCCCCTCTACCAAAGAGTGGTGACATGGAGGTTTAGGATTTGTGGGGGAGGGGAGAAAGATTGGAATACATGTATAAAAAGTTTTATTTTTACTTTTATGAGGCCATCTTAATAATATTTCTCCTGGATAATTTTTTTTTATTTTTATAACTACATGCATCTTTTATTAGATATAATATTGTTTGAGTTAAATAAAATTATTTAATGCAAAAAAATACTCATCGACTAGATATATTTGTAAAATGACTTAACATCATTTTAAATTTTGGTAAAATTTATTTTAAGAAAATTAATTTGTGTTTGTTAACGTGTGTATGATATTTTAAAAGTGGATGGAGAAGGATTGATTTTATAAGAAAGAAAAAACTATTTTTCTGTAATAAAATTTATTCTACATAATTAATTTTCTCAAGATACAAAAAATCTAAACATATTATCAATCTCTCTCAAAATACCACCGAACATGTAATGAATGATTATTCAAAGTTTAATTAAAGTATACTAGTGTATTAAATACTCGAAAAGAAAGATTTATTGTTTATATTAATCTTACTCAACTCAAACATAATTATCTTTATAAAAGAAATACTTATAATTTAGGAAAAAAGAATCTCTCAAAATTGATTTTAATGCTCCTAAAATTGATTAGGAGAGGAAATTAACTAAACAAAGGCAAATGCTGAGTAGGTAAGATTTCCCCACCTTATGTTTGTTTTTTCCCGTCTCTTGAATAATAAACTTCGAATCATGGACAGTTAATGCAAAAGAAACCTTCAAATGCCTTTCTGCTTACGCTGATTGAAAGGTTTGAAAACTGAAATGCTAATACTAATAATCTTACCGTAAAAGGGTTATTTCCTTTCTTGGCTTATCTCCTTAACTCCATTCGTGATACTTTCCCTCTCTCTCTCGTTAGGTTTAAGCAAAAGAGAAATGATTATTGAGTACAAAATTAGGATAACATTTTACTATTTTGTAATTTTACCATATATTTTAAGATGTGTATATAGAAATCAATAAATTGCATACAATATTGTGCATTTTTTTATTTGGTTCTGTAAAATAGGGAGGTTTGTTTTAGAGAATAAACTAACATCATAATCTATGATTACAAAATTAATAATCAGGAATTGTTATAAAATCAAATAAATAGTTGCCAAAATTTAAAATTAATTATAATTACTATATCAATCATTAATTTTTTAATTTATAATTAGATAGTGTTTGAAAAAATTCGTAAATTCTTATATAAAATAAGATTAAGAAAATCATCTCAAATTTAAAATTAACTTTTTTAGAAAAGCTAAAATCATTTCACCTTTTTCAAAAATAAATTATTTTGACAAATAAATAAGTTAATTTCTAGTTTAGGAAAAAAGTTGATTTCACTATAAAAAATTATTTTATTTTTATTTTATTAACGCATATGATCGTAAAAAGAATATTTCTAAGGTAAAACTTAGATATAAAATTATAAATATTATTGAAATCTCCTTTAAATATAAATACATTCTATAAATTCTATTAGTTTAAGATATGATATTGAATTTTATATTTTAATTAATAGGATACTATTAATATAGTAAATTTTAATTATTCATGGATGTATTAGAAAAATGTGACGCGCTTACAAGTTGCATCCTTCACCGGTTCAACCCATCCACGTCAGCCTAAACCCAACGTTGACTTCTAAGCACTCTCTGTGTCTACGCGGTAGTAGTTGAACGAAATTGAATCCATAATAACCCCTCAGAATCACAATTCCCAATTCACAATTCACTACTCCTCTTAACTCATCGTTCAATCTCTGAAAGCCACAAATGAACGACCTAATCTCGGGTTCCTTCTCGCGCTTCCGCGGCGAGCAGGCCTCGCCGGAGCACCACCAGCACGTGGTGGAGATGTCGGGCATCGGGCGGCGCGGCGGGGAGGTGAACCTGGACAAGTTCTTCGAGGACGTGGAGGGCGTGAAGGAGGAGCTGAAGGAGCTGGAGGAGCTGGCGCGGAGCCTCAAGAGCGGCCACGAGCAGAGCAAGACGCTGCACAACGCCAAGGCCGTCAAGGACCTCCGCTCGCGCATGGACGCCGACGTTGCGCTCGCCCTCAAGAAGGCCAAGCTCATCAAGCTCAAGCTCGAGGCCCTCGACCGCTCCAACGCCGCCAACCGCAACTTGCCTGGCTGCGGACCCGGTTCCTCCTCCGACCGGACCCGCACCTCCGTCGTCAACGGCTTGAAGAAGAAGCTCAAGGACTCCATGGAGTCCTTCAACGAGATTCGCCACCTTGTGTCGTCCGAGTACCGGGAGACCGTGCAACGACGCTACTTCACCGTCACCGGCGAGAATCCTGATGACAACACCCTCGATCGCTTGATCTCCACTGGTTAGCTTTTGCTTTCTCCTAATTTCTTCTCATTTCCCCAAAATTCCTGGGTCAAAGACTAATCCTTATTTTCTATATTTATTTGCGGGAAAATAATGTTTGATTACCAAAACTCATATCTGATCTGGTGAGCGGTTAATTAGTCCTTAATTGTTAATTTTGAGATAGTGATTAGACTATGTTTATAAAATAAAACAAAGAGACTAATTCATTACTATAGAGGGGTTATTTTAGTTAGAATTTATTCAAAATTACACTATGTTGTCATGTGGATCTACTTAATGTGGGGTTATTTTAGCTTAACTATTGAGGGATTGATTTAGTTTAACTAATTGTCTCGAATTTAAGTGTTAAGTATGCTATTGTAATCAATATTCCGAAGAATAATTTTGTTTTGTATAATGATTCTTTCGGGCTCTAATAGGATTCTCTCCTGAAATATACCTTCGGTGTGATTTCTTCGTGATTTTTTGAAGCGAAATCCTAAAAAATACTTAAGGTGTGATTTCGTCATCTTTGTTTGAAGATCAATTATGTTTGGACTCTTTTGTACAAGACAAGGAGATAGAGATAAAAAAATAGAATAGTTTGAGATAAGGATGATTGATGTGATAACGGGGTAAATAAAAAAACATAATGTTGAAGAAGCTTGGTTCGTTAGGCAAGTTCTCAGCTTAGACTCTTCCGTTGTCTGCTGCTGCTCAATTCTATTTTATTTGGCACTCAAAGTGGATTTTGGATTTAGATATTAAAAAATGGAAATAAACTATTAAATTTAAATTAAAAATATGAGAATTTTTACTTGTAGGAAAATTGATCTTTCAAATTCTAGTGTGCTAGGACATAGTCATGATTAATTTCTCATTTTCTCCATCACTGTTTCAATTGAAGAACAAATAGAACTTAATGGAATTAGTGGATAGTTTATTGAAATTCGAAGTGCTCTTCCAAATTCACGTCTGTGAAGCACTATTCTGTCCTCGTGATTTTAAGTTTGGGTTCAATTTTGTCTAGATTTTATTTGATGCAAGTTTAGGAGGTCCTATAATAATCTGTGTTTTTCACTTTTACGCAGGTGAGAGTGAGACCTTCCTTCAGAAGGCCATTCAAGAGCAAGGCAGGGGTAGAATTCTGGACACCATCAATGAGATTCAAGAGAGGCATGATGCTGTCAAAGATTTGGAGAAGAGTCTCAAGGAGTTGCACCAGGTGTTCCTTGACATGACAGTGTTGGTGCAACATCAAGGTGAGCAATTGGATGATATTGAGAGCCATGTGGCAAGAGCTCATTCGTTTGTGCGCACTGGAGCTGAGCAGTTGCAGACTGCACGGAAGCACCAGAAAAACACCAGGAAATGGACCTGTTATTGTATCATACTTCTTCTGGTGATCATCTTGCTTGTGGTGCTCTTCACTGTGAGGCCGTGGAAACATAGCAGTAGTGGCGGCAGTGATGGTAGTCAACCTGCACCAGCTCAAACACCACCTCCACCCCCTGTTAATGCTTAACCTTTGGGGTTAGGAGTCTATATAATTCACAAAGCATGCTGGTTTCTATTATATTTATTTGAAGATTGAGCTTTTTTATTTTGGGATCTAGCAAGGGTGAGAGAAACATGGATTGGCTTATGATTTGAAAGGGAATCTGGTGGGGCGTACAACAGTATTATTTCAATCCATGGAAAGGTTGGATGATTAATCTGACTGTAGAATCTGGGAAGGAAATGGTTGATGGTTCCATTGAGGTAGATTTTTGGAGATTGTTATTTTGAGCTTCATATTCTTTTTCTGTAAGTAGCTTATCTGTTTGAACATTGTTTACTGATGTTTTATATATGTATACGGGATCTTTCC